TATATATATATATATATATATATATATATATATATATATATATATATATGCCGCTATTAACACAACTTCTGTGCATCGTTATTTTAGCGTAAAAATCGCAATTTTAGGAAGCCAGAAATATCGGTCTTAACTTTTGTTTACTTTCTTTCGTCCTGTACAGATGTTAAGTGTTCGTTGGGAACTTTATGTAATTTAGATGATAATTTACTGTCCCATTTTCTGTATTTATGAAATGACCCTATGATATGTTCTGACTTGCAGTTGCTGATTTTTTTCTTGTTTTGAAATTTCGTTATCAATATGAGCTAAATGGATTAAATATTCTGAGTAACAAAAGTTGTCTGGAATAAACAAAGTTGTCAAAAAACGTCAAATACACTGAACATATTATCAATATTTTTCATTGATATATTTATGTTTTTGTAATATATCGATCGTTATTACTATCATCATCGCTATCACAGTCATTATTGTTATCATGCAGGGCATTGATAATTTAAGTAAATGATAAAACGCTGTGCGAAATTTTTTACGGGTGATTGTAATGTGTCTTTTTTTGTGTCTTCAATGTTTTATTTTGTTAATTGTAAAGTTTGTTTTCTCTTTTTTTTCACAACATTTAATAAATCTTAACAGCTTCTGTAAGTTGTTGTATTCCAAGATTTCAAGAGAAATTTGAAACTGTATTCTGATGCTTACAATATTATCAAATCAGAAGAGCCGAAAGATTTCAAGTGGAAACATTTAGTCCTAAAAAAACTGTATTACAGGATACCTCGGATTAGCATTCCATAGAAAGTCGTGGAAATCTTCCCCCTGTATTTCACACTTTTTTTTCCGAATTTCAAATTTCATCCGACATTCGATTGTCTTCGGATTTTTGTCCCATAATCTGATGAGATTCACACCGATTCAGAATCAGCCGATTCTTACTTAATTGAAATCATTACGTGAGAGACTTGGATCAGCTGAGCATAACGGTACTTTTTGGTAAGCAATTGCCTTAAAGATCAATGAATTTAGTTTCAAAAAAAGCACAAATTTCAAAAATGTTTCGTAGCAGTGAGTATGTATTCATCATACTATCATTTATCGAATCATCAGCGTTTTAAATTATTAAAGGCAAGTGACAGCATCAGGTATAAAATCCATGAAAGTTTTAACAAAAAAAAACGCAATCTGCTGAAAATGTCCAGTCCTATGTATTAGGAGTGCAAAGGAAAGATCAAATCAAGATCGAACCTCAATCTGCGAAAATTATTTCTCCTATCACAAAAAATAAAAAACGTTCTATTTCAAATTAAATTATCATCCAAGAAATACCAAAATTCACTTTTTCATTTTGTTTCGCCGGCATTTAATGACAAGTTCAATTATTTGATAACTTACTTTAACATCAGATAACTTCCATCCTCAACAGACATTAGTATTTTTAAAAAAGTTATGACCATAGGATACTCTAATTGCAGAAATGTGGCATCAGTAGTAGTTTAATATTGAAAGGTGATAAGTTAACATTAAAGCTAATGAAAATTTACTTGTGAAAAGATAAAGAATGCATGCGCTGAAACTTAATGTCATAATTCAAGAATAGTCTTATCTATCCTTCGTTTTTTTTTGTGTTTCCAAAACAATAAATTTCATTTTGGCCTGTACAAGACCGCAAGAATTTATTGTCAAAAGATTAGGTTGCAAATTTCTTTTCCACATTTACTAAATTAAGCTGTTTTTGCATCTTTAATTTCTCATCTTTTAAACACTTCTCAAACTTCAAACACTTCTGTTTTTAGTATCTTTCAAGAAATAAGAGTGATCTTTGTACTTTATATTTCATATTTTCAAATTAAAAAGAATCAAAAATATCATAAAGGCTACATATTGACAAAAGCACTGTACAATTCAGGACAACGAGATCTGGCAATGTACTAAATTTGAGCTTTAAAAATTTTTTGCAATTGTTAAAGAAAGCAGCAGTTTGATGATGAACAGAAACTACAACAGTTGACTAATTACTGAATAAACAGTGTTAGAAATTGTAGCAGTAATAACAATAATTACGAAATAGCAGCGGTTATTGCAATGAAATTTGCTATCAATGTTTATTGTTTTATTGTTTATTATGATTATTATTATCATCATTATTGCCATTATATAAAAATAATATTATTATTGTTATTGTTATAATTATAATCATACAATTATAATTATATTATAATTATAATCATACAATCATAATTATGTTATAATTATAATTATTATTACTATTATTGTTATTATTATTATTATTATTATTATTATTATTATTATTATTATTATTATTATTATTATTATTATTATT